CCCCAAAACCCCAAAACCCCAAAACCCCAAAACCCCTTTATTAAATAATATTTTTGACATTTATCTCCATAAAATTAAATGACTGACACCAAGAGCCTGAAAGAAATATTTAATAATGGAAAGCGTCTTATGAACGAAAAAGATTTTGAGACTGCAGCCAAGAACTTCGATTATCTTATTTCGAAATCTGAACAGAATAACTACTTGGCCATATACTTATTAAGCGAATGATATAATATGTTGGAAGATTATAAAGCAGCTCGATATCACCTTTCTTCCATCATCAAATCTTATAACCTTGGAGACAAGTCTGTTGACAGAGAGATATATATGGAATCACTATATAAGCATGCAAGGATTGATATCCTGTGTAAGAACTACAGCAATTCCATCATGCTTCTTGATACTTTAAGAAGCTTCATTGCCAAGAAGAAGATTGATGTTGAAGAAGAATTTGAGAAGAAAATAAAAGAAGCAAAAGATTATGCTGAGAAAAACTATGAGAAATATGGGGACACTAAAAAGGCAAAGTCTACATCTAAAAATGTTCCATATGAAACTGAAGCTATTCAGAAAAAGAGATCTTTGAGAGCAAAGCCATATCAGAGATTGAAAAATATTCCTGCTAATAAACAGAAGGAGGACATGCAAAAACTATGGCAAGAGATGATGGAGACTAAAATGGAGATTCAGGAGGGTTCTAAGTGGTATATAATCTCAGCTAGTTGGTTTAATCACTGGAAAGAATGGACAGGCTTCAAAGAGACAGAAGAACCAGAGACCAAAAGTGAACAAAAGGTAAGTACTTTTTAGGTGACATGATAGAGTCCAACAGAAGACGTTGAAGTTGACGACTCCAACACTAAATCAGCAACCATAGAAGAGCCAGGCAGTATCGACAATCAAGACCTTATTGAATGCAACGAGATCATGCTCTTCAAAGAAATCAATCTCAAGGATGGACTCAATGAAGAAGAGGATTACATCATAGTTAATCCTGAGATCTGGCGTTATCTGTACAGCATTTATGATGGAATTCCGATCCTCAGGAAAGCTATTAAAAATTTTGACAAAAAGGAAGATATAGATATCGCTGAAACTATTATCGAAGTTAACATGGTCAAGCTCTACATCTTTGAAGTTCCAAGAGAGAACAAGCAAGACTACTATGAAGTAGCTCTAGTTAGTAGAAACTTGGATCTTCTAGACGTTAAAATTAAAATATGAACTTACAAAAAGATAAAGGAGTCGGATATCAGACTCTGGAAAATGGAGAAACCTCAGAAATTAGACAAATTCTATAATGAGCTCGAATACGAATGGAAGAAATACAAAACTCTTAGGATTGATGGAGAACTATTTAAAGACTTATCAATTCTGATCAAAGATGCTAACTTTTCAAGAGATGACTTCCTCATGCTTGAATACCCAATCCCAACAAGCAATGATAATGGATACTCACTTGTAGAAGTAGAAAAAGTTGATATTAATGATACTTTAAATGATAAGGTAGCTCAAGCTTTTCAAGAAGATGAAGAGATAAAAGAAGCAATTTCAAATCCAAAGACTTTAGAGTATACCAAGATCCCAATGACACTAGTAATGAACGAAGATTCAATAAAAGGTGCTTGTGGTCTCTCGAATATTGGAAACACTTGATTCATGAACTCTGCTCTGCAGTGAATGGGGCAAACCCACGAGCTCGCCAAATACTTCTGATTCAGAATGCACGAAGCCGAAATCAACCACACCAATGTCCTCGGCTCCAAAGGTAGAGTCGCTGAAGCGTACGGAGAACTCATGCAAGACATGTGGATCGGCAAGAAACGGAAAACTGCTCCTTTCAACATCAAGAAGTCGATCGGAGCAGTGGTCGCTCAGTTTCGAGGCTACAACCAGCAGGACTCTCACGAGTTCTTGCACTACCTTATTGACACTCTGAACGAAGACCTCAACCGCGTCAAAGAAAAGCCTTACGTTGAGATTCCAGATTCCGACGGCAGAGACGACGCCATCGTGTCGAAGGAGCAGTGGGAAGCTTTTTGCAAGCGCAACGACTCCGTCATGATTGACTTGCTGTACGGCCAACTGAAGTCACACCTGGTCTGCCTGGAGTGAGACTATACTTCAAATACGTTCGACCCGTTTTCGATCCTGAGCGTGCCAGTGCCAGTGGTCAAGATTGTGAAGCTCAAGGTGACATACTTTCCTCTGCGGATGTCTCCTGACAGTCCGCTTCGAACCTTCGACATCTACATCAACGATAATTTGTGACTGACCGAAGTAGAAGCTCTGATCCAGAAAGAGGTTGGATCTGACGAAGAAATGCTGTTCTACCTATACAACTCGCACAGGTTCGGCAAGAGAATAAAGAAAAACAGTTTCAACTGCAGAGACCTCGTTGGCTTCCACTTGGGCGCATTTGCATACAAACTCGACCAAGACCGCAACTCAGGCAACCTCTACATTCTGGAAGCCTACAACAAGAAGCAAGTCAAGAAAATGGTGTTCTTCAACGGAGAAGACCCAGTGTCGCCACCTTTCATCTTGATTATTGACAGCAAGCACACGAGCAAAGAAATCCAGCTCAAAGTGTTCAAGTTCGTGCAGCCTCTGCTTCGCATTCCTAGCAGGTTCGCCCCTGATGCCGAGGGACTCACTGAAGACGAGTACACTGAGAAGCTGTACACTGCTCTCTTCGAAGAATCCAAGTACGGCGAAGAAGAACTCTACGAACTCATCCTTGTTAACACCAGAGACTCCGGAGAAATCTGTCCAGCATGCAGAAAAGCCCACAAAGGAAACTGCAAGTTCGAGTTTGCGCAGAAGTGTTACGGAGTCTTCGTGAGTCACGGCGCATCAGACCCCGAAGTGTGCATTCTCTGGAAACAGAACACCAAAGCCAACCTCAGTGTGTTCGACAAGCCGAAGACCATCATCGGAGAACCTTCGAAATCAAAGGAAAAATAAGAAACTCAACCTGGACATGTGACTGGACAATTTTAGAAAAGATGAAATACTTGACGGAGACAACAAATGGTACTGATCCAAGTGCCAGCAACACGTCAAGGCTAGGAAATAAAATGGACTTGTACAGACTGCCTCCAGTGTTGATCGTCCACTTGAAGAGGTTCCTGAAGAATGACCATGAGTCGTCGTTCTTTAGAAACGCGTCTCGAAAAATCACTGAGCTTGTGGAGTTCCCACTGAAGTCACTAGACTTGTCAGAGTACTTGATCAATGAAGAAGAGCAGAAGCAAGAATGGATCTACGACTTGTACGGAGTCAGTAACCACATGGGCAAATTGCACGGAGGCCACTACACGGCCAGCTGATTCAACTCTCTGCACAACAAGTGGCTGTACTTCGATGATGCATCGGTGTCTAAAATATCTGAGAAAGAAGTTGTGGATCAGTCTGCATATGTGTTGTTCTATCGAAGAAGAGGAGCATTCCCAGAATAAACTAATACTAGTTGAAGAGACATTTTTAGTAATTCCAATTGGAGAACCAATCAGCGGGGTTTTGGGGTTTTGGGGTTTTGGGGTTTTGGGGTTTTGGGG